CTGTGGGTCACAGTGTTTTATGAAGACACTGATGGATCAATGGAGAAGGAGCTTCTACAAACTCTCACTGAAACTCCTCTGTTTACATCAAAAATGTGATAAACCCTGAGCTGCAGAGGCTGCACCAGCACAGAGTCATGATTCATGCAGGTTCGACCTAAATCACAAATCACTTTTACTGATAATAAATGTGATGCTGATTTATTCTTAGTTACAAAAACATTGGACATGAAGTTCAGTTATTTACACAAGTCCAAATGTGTCACAGCCCATTTGTCAATGAGACGAGAGAAAACAACCTCCAGTCTGGACTCTGGTCTCTGGTCTGTTCTAGTCTCTGGTCTGGACTCTGGTCTCTGGTCTGTTCTAGTCTCTGGTCTGGACTCTGGTCTCTGGTCTGGTCTCTGGTCTGGTCTCTGGTCTCTGGTCTCTGGTCTGGTCTCTGGTCTGGTCTCTGGTCTCTGGTCTCTCTGGTCTCTGGTCTCTGGTCTGGTCTCTGGTCTCTGGTCTGGTCTCTGGTCTCTGGTCTGTTCTAGTCTCTGGTCTGGACTCTGGTCTCTGGTCTGGTCTCTGGTCTGGTCTCTGGTCTGGTCTCTGGTCTGGTCTGGTCTCTGGTCTGGTCTCTGGTCTCTGGTCTCTGGTCTGGTCTCTGGTCTGGTCTGGTCTGGTCTCTGGTCTCTGGTCTCTGGTCTGGTCTCTGGTCTCTGGTCTGGTCTCTCTGGTCTCTGGTCTGGTCTGGTCTCTGGTCTGGTCTGGTCTCTGGTCTGGTCTCTGGTCTGGTCTCTGGTCTCTGGTCTCTCTGGTCTGGTCTCTGGTCTGGTCTCTGGTCTCTGGTCTGGTCTCTGGTCTGGTCTCTGGTCTCTGGTCTCTGGTCTCTGGTCTCTGGTCTGGTCTCTGGTCTCTGGTCTGGTCTCTGGTCTGGTCTCTGGTCTCTGGTCTCTGGTCTCTGGTCTGGTCTCTGGTCTGGTCTGGTCTCTGGTCTGGTCTCTGGTCTGGTCTGGTCTGGTCTGGTCTCTGGTCTCTGGTCTCTGGTCTGGTCTCTGGTCTCTGGTCTGGTCTGGTCTGGTCTGGTCTCTGGTCTGGTCTCTGGTCTGGTCTGGTCTGGTCTCTGGTCTGGTCTCTGGTCTGGTCTCTGGTCTGGTCTGGTCTGGTCTGGTCTGGTCTGGTCTCTGGTCTGGTCTCTGGTCTGGTCTGGTCTCTGGTCTGGTCTCTGGTCTGGTCTTTGGTCTCTGGTCTCCTCTTAAATGTCTGTTTTGTCTTCTTTGGACTCTGAGTCTAAACGGAAACGGCTCTTATTGTTCTGAAGCATTAGCACGATTCAAAACAGTGAGGTCATGCCCACTGCTCTGGTCTCTGGTCTGAACTACGGACCGGACTACGGTCTGGACTACGCCCTCATCTCGAGGTGGATTCAGGTCTGATCTGGTCTCTTGTCCCAGTTTGTGTTCTGGTCTCTGGTCTCCGGTCTGGACTCTGGTCTGGTCCCTGGTCTGGTCTCTGGTCTCTAGTCTCGTCTCTAATCTCATCTCTGGTCTGGACTCTGGTCCCTGGTCTGGTCTGGTCTCTGGTCTCTGGTCTGGTCTGGTCTCTGGTCTGGTCTGGTCTGGTCTCTGGTCTGGTCTCTGGTCTCTGGTCTGGTCTCTGGTCTGGTCTCTGGTCTGGTCTGGTCTCTGGTCTGGTCTCTGGTCTGGTCTCTGGTCTGGTCTCTGGTCTGACCGTTACAGAAGGAGGAGGAGGGGGGAGTTTGGGGGGAAGTGGTCTGAACACAAACAGGAAGTGTCCGGCAGAAGTGAACAGGAAACGGAGCGGCGGGGGCGGGGTGAAGGTCGAGGGGGGCGGAGTCTGCCTGACAATGGGCCCGCGGTGGAGGTGGCGGCGTTGGTGTCGGTGGTGTCGGCGGCGGCGGAGGCGGCAGGTGCGTGGGTGTGAGGGATTAAACCACACAATAGAACCAATCACCTCCACAAACAATGGAGCCTGAAGAATGTGACGCTGCTGACGAACGAACGAACAAACGAACAAACGAACGAAACGAACGAACAAACGAACGAAACGAACAAACGAACAAATGAACAAATGAACAAATGAACAAACGAACAACGAACAAACGAACGAACGAACAAACCGCTTTAAAGACAACGACTGTGTGAAATCTTTGACTTTCTCCAATGTTCTAACGTTGTTGCCTCATCAAAAACCTGCTGAAAGACGTTTTCCGAGTCATCCATGCATGTTTGAGTCATCTAGAGATCTCTCCCAGGCCCTATTTATTTATTTTATTTTTTAGCATTTTTCCACCTTCAAGACACTTTACAATCATTTTACAATAAGGAACTATTCACCCATTGATTTATTTGTTATTAGTTCTATTTTGACATTATTCCACAGTCATGAAAAATCTGAAAAAGTGGAGGCTGAATCTTAATCTTATTCTGCCTTTACCCTTTATTTCTTTATCAGAGCTTCATCTTAACACCAGTTCATCTTCATAAATACAACGAGAGGAAACAAACAAATCAGAAACAGAACAACAAAGTTCAACAGCACAAACTCAGTCTCATAATTCATGTTTCAGGCCAGAGTTCAACACCTAAACTTATTTTTAATAAATAAATATAATATAATAATATAATATGTGTGATTTCCAGTTTAAATGATGGTCTATAGTTGCTCCTGCAAACTTGTTTTCAGAGACTTTCTAGTGGTTGATGATTTTATTTTTTGTTTTTCAGATATCATACATTTTGTTTTGTTTTTCTATGTTTAACGACAATTTATTCATCTATGTTTAATTTAACTCATTCACACATTCATGTGAGTGTGACCAGACGTCCCTGTTTCCCCGGGACAGTTCCAGAGTCTGTGTCTCTGTCCCTCAGATTTATACAAAACCACTGATTTGTCCCAATTTATACAAGAAATGTTCCACATTGCAAAAAGTAAAATCTAGTCAAGTTCAGCTGACTTGAATGAACAAAGTTTGACCATGATGAGGGTTTGGGAATTTCACTCAACAAGTAAAGTGATCTGCCAGTGGAACAAAACCTTTTGTACTTAAAATATGAAAATACATCTGGATACACTTAAAATAAGAAAAACTACAACTTTTTGCCCAACAAAAAAACAAAATCAAATATTGCTTGAATTAAGAAAAACACACTTATTCCATTGGTCGATATTTTTACGTGTCAAGTTGAATCGACTCAAATAAAGTCAAATGTTCTTCATTTAAGTCATTTTAATTTATCTAGATATTGATGTTTGCAACTGCTCCTCTCGATGTGGAGGAGCAGCGGCTCTACTCGGAGGAGCTCAGAGTAGAGCCGCTGCTCCTCCACCTGAAGAGGAGCAGTTGAGGCTCGGGCGTTTGTTCTGATGTCTCCTGGGCGTCTCCTTCAGGAGGTGGTCATGTCCCACCGGGAGGAGGCTTCGGGGACGACCCAGGACACACTGGAGGGACGATGTCTCTGTCTCTGTCTGTGGGAACTGGAATCGCACCAACAACCTGTGGGTCTGTGGATCTGACGCTCAAACAACAATGTTTAAGTCGAGATCAATGGACAAATGCTCGAGCAGCTGAGCTACTGTCGCCCCACACGGAAAAAACAATCTCTAAGTAAATGAAAATGACTTAAAATTAAGAACATTTGACTTTATTTGACTCGATTCAACTTGACAAGTAAAAATATTTACTAATGGTTTAACGTACAGTTTCAATTTTTTTGTTTTAAGTGCAAAAAGTTGTTGTTTTTCTTATTTTAAGTGCAGTCAGATGTATTTTTATATTTTAACTCCAAAAAGTCTTGTTCCGTTGGCAGATCATTTTACTCGTCAGGTGAAATTTACTCAAATCATGATAAAACTTTCTTGATTCAAGTCATCTTAACTTGACTAGATTTAGTTTTTTTCTAGTGCAAGAACATTTTCAAACAAAACAGTTTCCAAAGTGCTGAACAGTAAATTGCGAAAATTTGTCCTAAAACAATAAAACCAGTAAAATCAAATACAAGCAAAACCATAAAAATCATAAAATTGCAGTAAATAAGTAAAAAAAAAAAAAAAAATCATCCATGTATGTTTGCGTAATCTAGTGATCTCTCCCGGGCCCTATTCAAACCCTCATTACAGTGAGCAGTAAGATTGTGTACGAGGCTCCGCCCACAAGTCTACATCACCCACACTCCCACACGACAACTCTCCACAAATACACACAAACATGACACAAAACTGTTCACTACAACTTCACAAACCTGACGCGATGAAGTTTCATTTCGACAAACGCTCAGAAGGGGGAGTGACTTAACACGGGGAGCAAAGGGTCAAAAATGAAAGTGAAAACAGATCAATAAGTTGTTCAGAAGAGTAATGTGTGACGTGCAGCAGTGAACTCCACACACCTGCACTAGAATCATTTGGAATTTGGATGATTTCAGTCTTGGAATAAAAAAAAAAAAAAAAAAAAAAAAAAAAAACAATCACTAAATGACATCAGTCCGTGTGACGTTCGTTCGTTCTATTTTCAAAAATAAAACCAAAAATAAGAAAACGGAAAAAAAACAATACAATTTTCTTCATCATTTGTCTCCAAAACCAAAATGAAAAAACAGAAAATGATTTGTTTTTTCAATTTTCGATTTGGTGTTTAAGTGAAAAATGGAAAAAAACAAAACAAAAAACAGATAAGGGACTGAACCAGGACTAAACCAGGTCCAGGACCAGACCAGAACCAGACTGGGATTGAGACCAGGACTTAGACTGGGACCAAACCAGGACTGAGACCGGAACCAGACTGGGATTGAGACTGGGACTGAGACCGGGACCAGACCGGGATTGAGACCGGGATTTAGACCGGGACCAGACCTGGACTGAGACCGGGACCAGACTGGGACTGAGACCAGGACTGAGACCAGCAGTGAAAATGGTTTAATCCTGGTTCAGTCCTGGTTCAGTCCTGGTTCAGTCCTGGTTCAGTCTTGGTTCAGTTCAGTCCTGGTTCAGTT